GAAGGGAATGGCATTAATATGAGAAAAAGAAAAAATGGAAACAAAGTCTTTGTAAATAGGGAGGGATGGAGGGGTTGAAAGGAGGGCAGGGGAAGGGGGAAAAGTAAGAACCAAAATCTATTACGTAAGGAACAAATTTCCAATGATGAATGTCATTATATTGTATACTTAAATGTACCAATAAAAATAAAGTCAAATGCAAGATTCCCCATGGCCGTGCCAGGTCTTCCAAAGTAGCCGAATTCTTGCCTTAAAAGCAGCCTCAGCCAGAGGGCCTGGCTTTGATACTCAACAAGGAAAAAAGAGAAATACCTGTGGCTGAGAACCTGTCTGGCCTTATTCAGCCTGGGCGGTGGCTGTCTCCTGTCAGCCCGGAGGGGGTGGGGCCTGAAGCCTTGTCCAATCAGATGTAGAAAGCTGTCCAATGAGGCGCGCGGTCAGAGCGGAAAGGGCGGGCTTTCCGCCTGTGGGTCCCTCCCCTGGGTCTGCTGTTTTCCTCTGTGGAGTTAGAGGCCGCTCTGCCTCCGCTTTTGTACCCTGTCACCAGCCGGGGTGGGGACCCGGTGGAAGAACGCTGGGAATCCGGCAGCTGGTAATGGTAAGGGCGCGGCTTGCATCCGGACCCGGAACCCGGTCCGTGGGTCGGGTCTCTGCGGGGTCCGCGGGTCCGGGCTACCCTGGGCGGCGCCTTGGCGCTTCTGGAGGGCGGGCTGGGGCCCAGTCAGTCCCGTCTGAAGCCTGGGGCGACTCCAGCCCGGCCTATCCCTCTGCCGCGCTCATCTCCCCAGGTTGCGGGGCGCCGCCTGCCGGGTGCTCGTCTCCGCCGCAGTATCTCTCTGGCTTGCCCGTTCCTCTTAGGTTCTAAGACGGTCTTAGAACAGCGCCACCAATTCTGACCCCAGACCTCAAGACCAAATTTCCTCCCGATCTGGTGACAGATTCCTTAAATCCAGCTCGTTTCCCGTATTCTCTACTTTAATGTTTGGTGGTGAGGTGGATCTCAGGGCCCGCACCGTTCGGACACACACTCGACCTCTAAGCGATATCCCCAGCCCCAGGTTCTGAATCTTGTGCCGTTTAATCCATTCATTTAATGCCATTCCTGATACGATGGGTTTTATAAAGACCTTTCTGTTGAACAGTGCCAACAAGTCCTACATCCATATGGGTTCATCTGTGGATTTTGTTTATAATGTTATTATTTGGTCTTTATTATTGTATTGTTATAGTTTGATAATATATGGTAGTGTCAGGTAAACATAGCTACCACTATTACTCTTATAATTAAGAAGTTCCTTGGCTAATTTCATATATTCCTGTGTTTTAAGCTTCCAGATGAATTTGAGTATTTTTAGGATTTGGCCCCTTCTGTTACAAATAAACGTGTTGAAATTTTGGTGGGATAATGTAGATTAATTTGGGATGAAATGATCACTGTTGTAATGAGTTCTATGATCTAAACATGATGTGTGTAATCAAGTTTTTCTGTATGTCTATAAATTTTTATTTTTTTAAATTTCTGTAATTTGTGAAACATACATACATGTGAAATATCTGGCGCATGGGGCATCTATATAAAATTCATGTGATTTTTTTGTAATACTTGATAAATTGGATATACTAGACCTAGACTCTGGCTAGCTGATAGAAAGTGCTACTTTGTCCTTTTCCTGAATCTACTACCTCTTGTCCTCAATGTGCTTAATTTCACTTGTTTGCACCAATACTGCTGTATCCTCCCAAGTGATTGGTGAACCTTTTAGTGCTTTCAGTGATAATGAACATGTGCCATAGGTTTGCTACTACTGCCCTATACTATCATGGCATTCATGTACACTGATTTTGTATCAGCTAAACGGTTTCCCCAAATGGAAAAACATTCCATTTTCATTTCATGAAAATTCAGTTGTTCCATGTCTTTATCAATACTGTGTATGGTTTTTGAATTTTTTTTTTAATACTGGCAATTGAACTCAGGACCTTGTGCTTGCCAGGCAGGTTTGGCACCACTGAGCTACATCCCTGTCCAAATGCTTTGTATGTTTGTCTATATGATGTGGTTTTGTTTCTCTGAATTTTAAAGATGTTGAGCTTACTGATGATTATTGATCATTTGCCATCGCCTATATAATGTGGTTATTCAAGTCTTTTCGTGCTAATCTTCAAGGGGTTCTATTTATCCTTTCCTTTCTTATTTAAAATGCTTTGTCATATGTCAGACAAATAATTTCTCCCATTTGGTCATTTCTCTTGGCACTCTTTAATGTTTCATTTGATAAATAAAATTTTAATTTTAATGTAGTCCAATTTATGAATATTTGGTTTTTGATATTTATTTATGTGGTTTTGAAAATAAATAATTTCCTTTCCTAAAGCAACTTTTGAAGGTCTTATAGTTTGCTTTTATATTTAGGTCTTTCTTACTTCTGAAAATGATTTATTATGTGGTATGAGGAAAGGGTACAATACCATTATTTGCCACATAGATACCTTGATTTCCCAGCAGGTTTTATTCAAAAGGGAATCTGCTTTTTACTCTTCTGGGGTGCAGTCACTGGCATTTATGTGTGTTTAAAAAGGAATCAATCTTTTTAAACATTGTCTTTTTAGTTCAACAGATGTATTTATTCATCTCTTTGTCAGGTCATACTGATTTATAATATACAGTCAATTGGTATAAAGACATTTTGGTCAGTTACGGATTTCTTGTGCAGCAGTAGCTGTAACATACAGCCTAGGTGTGTAGTAGGTTGTGTCTTCTTAGTTTGTGTAAGTACACTGTGAAATGTGCATAACAATATCTTTTTCAGAATATATACCCATCCCTAAACAAGTCATGATATTTAAAAAAATTAAGTTTATTGGTACATTTTAGGTATACAATATAATGACATTCATCATTGGAAATTTGCACCTTTAAATAATTGATCTTGGTTCTTATTTTTTCCCCATTCCCTTGACCTTCCTTCAACCCCTCTACCCTTCCCTATTTAAAAAGATTTTGTTTCCATTTTTTCTTTTTCTCATTTTAATTCCATTCCCTTCTTTGCTTTCCCTTACTCCTTCCACTTCCCCTTCCCCTTTGCACCTTTTCTTCCTATTTCACATTATCTATTATACTTTTTAATCCTTATTTGCACTTTCAGTTTCTCACATCAGAGAAAACTATTCGGTATATACACATCTGTCCTATTTATTTCACTTAAGAGTATTGCCTCAATGCACATCCATTTAGCTATAAATGTCTCTAATTTCTCATTCTTTATGGCTGAGTAGTACTCCATTTTATGAAAAAGAAAAACCCACATTTTCTTTATCCAGTCTCCAGTTGATGGGCAATTGGGCTGTTTCCAAGTTTTAGCTATTACAAACTGTGCTGCTATGAACATGGGTACACATATATCGCTGTGGTATGATTCTTTTAAT